ATTCAGAATTCAAATTCTAGCACTAGATAGCACAGTGATAGAATTCTGCACCTTTCATATTTTACCTTTGTAACATTGGGCTAGTCACTTAATTTTCCCCATCTGTAAGATGAGCACTAGTATTGCACTAAGAGTGGGGCATGAAGATAATACAAAGTAGAACCACTTAGCAGCAGCTCAATAAGTTGGGAGTTATCATAATTACTTTAACCATTAGGTCTACAGATATAAATTTATGCAACAGATTGTTATATTAGAGTCACTTAAGGTGAGTTCAAGATAGTGAAAAGATAAACTCTTCAGCTGATTAAACTGTGATTAACCCTAAAGGCAGACACTTCTGTATTGAAAGCATGAATGGGACTATGCCACTGAGCAACAGAAGAAATTCTTCCTGCAATTCATTATGGTATCTGACTAAAGCTACAGAGAGGTGTAGTTGACTATGTTTACTGTCTTAGGAGAGTATCATAACTTATGGAGCCCACAGTTTTGTAGCAAAGAACCTCAATAATTTATACAGACAACAGAATTGCTGTCCCTACAATATGTAGCTGAGGCATGAGTGCCTTTCTAATGAATGGATTGGAGCAATAGACTTTTTGGGAACCCTCTGTAGAACTTGTGGTTAAGAGCTAAGATTTGGGGAACAGGTCAACTTAGATTTGCTTCCCTCTTCTACCACACTGGTCATATGACCTTGAGAAAATGACTGAATGTTTTTGAAAATCAGCTTGCATCAATAAAATCAGTATAATAATATTCATCTAGAATTGTATCAAGGATTAAATGGAATAACAAAAAGAGATTATCTTGTAGAGTTTCAGCTAATTATGAATTCTTCATAACTTTTAGCAGTTGTTACTCAGAATTTATCACATTGACCTTGTTATCTAGAAACAGACACTTTTTCAATTCATCAGTAGATATTGACTGAAGATCTACTGAGTGATAGGCATAGTGCTAATGTCATAAAGATGTCTATAAAATTGTTCTTCTGTCCCTAAGGATCCTAGAGTGCTACAACCTAGGATCCATACAAACCAAAAGAAAGGATATCTAAATGAAAGTTGACAAATGGATAGAAGGGGCCAGGGGGCTTGGTACCAAAGGACATTTCTGAGAGTGGTGGGCATAAAGTGTGATAAGAAGGTGGCATGTTTACAGACTAGTTACTGAGCCAAAGTAACGCAGATTGGGACATAATAAAAATACACAGATAAAAATAGGCTTCTGAAAGTCTAATCCTGAACACAAGTTTTAGTTACCCTTATCTAAAATTTTCATTAATTGGTGGAAAAAAGTATTCACAAGCCAGTGCACAGGTTGACCATTTTGCTCTTTGACTTTAAGTGTGGTGAGTAATGAGAAGCACAGTGTTTTATTAATTCCATCTTCATTGTGCCTTTAATATTATTCTCATGTTTCTAAACTTGTAAGAGAATAAAGGAAGTAAAAAAAAGTGGGGAGAGGTGCTGGGGTTGTGGCTCAGCAGTAGAGTGCCTAGCATGTACAAAGCTCTGGGTTCAAT